CTAATTACCCTTTGTCAGAGACAGAGGAAGAAGATGAAGCGGTCAAAAATAGAGGGAAAATTGAATTGGAGAAGAAAAATGGGAAAGGGAAAGCACCCATTACCGTTAAACTTAAGAAAGTTTGCAAAGTAACGCTCTTTCCAGAAACCCTAGCTTTCTAAATGCCACGTTTTAGCGGCTTTTCATTTTGAGTTTATTGAGTTTTTATTTGGGTTATGATTTCAAGTGTGAGAAGCTTCTACTTCAGGGTAGGCTTTTAAAGATAATGATTTTTGGATTTTGATTTCGATTTCAAAAACATATTAGAAGTATCCACTATATAGAAGTGGCCAATTCGAATCCCTTCAAAGTTTGTAGATTTGATAAGAAGTGCCTGAAATTCACCTCATTGTTACTTTGTGTTCTTCATTTTGATTGTTTAATTTTGTTTATTTTTGTTGTTGTTTTCATGGTGGATTTTCTAGGTTTGTAAACAGCCTGGTCATGAAGCTGGATTTAAAGGGGCTACGTATATCGATTGTCCTATGAAACCTTGCTTCTTATGCAAAATGCCTGGTAAAAATCCGTAATTTCGTATCGATACTTGATCAAATGTGAGCCTAGATGTTGGTGAATGGACATAGATAATGTTCGATTTACTCGATTTTTTTTTGCTGTTTACTGTATGGATTGAAGGCCACACCACAATGTCATGTCCCCATAGAGTAGTTACTGGCCAAGGAATTCTCCCAACTTCTCATAGGAATACAAAGAACCCTATCGACTTTGTGTTCAAGCGTCAACTCCAACCGAGAATTCCACCGGTATGACTCTTTGTGTGTGATGTTGTATTTTTATGCCTAAGGAGATTTATTGACTGGAGTATATGGAATTCTTTTTTCTTTGCTATACAGATCAAACCGCAATATGTGATCCCGGATCAAGTTCGTTGTGCAGTTATTCGATACCACAGCAGACGTGTTACATGTTTGGAGTTCCATCCAACTAGGAACAACATTCTTCTGTCTGGAGATAAGGTTATTGAATTAAAAAACAGTCGTATGTTACGGATCTCTGAATCTATTTTCTCATTGTTTTTTTCGTTTCTGTTGGTCGTATGGTTCACGCTCTAAAAGAAAGGGCAAATTGGAGTTTGGGATTTTGCTAAAGTGTATGAGAAGAGTGTGTATGGAAACATACACTTTGTACAAGTTAATAATATGCGGTAAGTTAGTAAATCTGGCTCTCAGTCTCATTGTATCTGTTGTGATTTTACTTCTGCATTCAGGTGTCTATGTATGAAAACGAAAGCTCATGTCTTTTGTTGAATCAAATTTCTCTGCTATTTTCGCTATTGCAGGTTTAGTCCCACAAATGATGACATGGTTTATTCTGCATCTTCCGATGGAACAGTTGGTTATACTGACCTGGAAACTGGAATTTCATCGTCTTTGCTGAATCTCAACCCCGATGGATGGCAGGTAACGCCGTCGCCCCTTTACTCTAATATTTCTTCTTTGCACTATTCCGCTGATACATAATCTTTGGTGTATAGGGCTCAACCAGTTGGAAAATGCTGTACGGTATGGATATAAACCCGGAGAAAGGTGTAGTGCTAGTGGCTGATAATTTTGGGTTTCTTTACATGTAAGTGATTTCATCCCCTTAAACTGTTTGTAGACGAGCCTCTTTGTTATTGTTCAAATGAGCGACCGACTTATCTACTCATGATGTACTCTGCAAAAGGGTCGACCATCGCTCCAACAACAGAATGGGTGAGCCAACTTTGATACACAAGCAAGGTCGCAAAGTTGTTGGCCTTGACTGCAACCCGGTTCAGCCTGAGCTTCTTCTCAGTTGTGGAAACGATCATTTTGTAAGTCTATCAAAGAGAACCAAGATCATGCTTTCTGGTCTGATATTGTTTCGACATAAATTTGAGCGCGTGTGAAAGATTATCTGAATTCCGTTGAAGCTTGTTCATTAATAGAATTGATTGGTTATGGTTTCAGGCACGAATCTGGGATATGCGTAAACTACAGCCTGGAGCTTCGCTTAATGATCTTGCACACAAACGAGTAGTCAACTCTGCTTATTTCTCTCCATCATCAGGCACAAAAATCCTCACAACCTCTCAGGACAACCGTATTCGAATATGGGACTCAATCTTTGGGAACTTGGATTTGCCAAGCCGAGAGATTGTTCATAGCCATGATTTCAATCGTCATTTGACGCCATTCAAAGCTGAATGGGATCCAAAGGTTTGATACTTTTGATTCCCTCTCTATATGAGGTTTCTTTTTCCATCAATTCCCATCTATAGCTTTTAGTATATTGTTCATCTGCAGGATATCTCGGAGTCACTCATTGTGGTTGGTCGTTACATCAGTGAAAACTACAACGGAGCTGCTCTTCACCCGATAGATTTCATTGATTCAAGCAATGGACAGTTGGTAGCAGAGGTTATGGATCCAAACATAACAACTATAACTCCAGTCAACAAGTTGCATCCGCGCGATGATGTTTTAGCCTCAGGAAGTTCAAGGTTCGAGAGTTCAGTACCCAATAGATAGAAGTAGCAATGAAAAGTGAGAATCTTTTCCTTACTACTAGTCTCAAAATTGGTTTTGCAGGTCGCTGTTCATTTGGAGGCCACGGGAGAAAACAGAAATCGATGAAGAGAAGAAGGATAGGAAGATTATTATATGTTCTAGTGACAGCAAGAAGAAAGGAAAGAAGCAAAAGCGTGGCAGC